TCCTTCGGCTGGCTTTGGGTTTAGTTTGCTCTTCTTTTTCGAGTTCCTTAAAGGTTAAAGTTATGCTCTTGATCTGAGATCTTTCTTGTTTTTTAATGTAGGTGTTTTCAGCCATAAAATTCCTTCTGCATACTGCTTTTGTTACATCCCTTAAGTTTTGGAAAGCTGTGTTTGTTTTCATTTGTCTCAAAGTATCTTCTAATTTCACTAATACATAGTCTCATTTGCCTTGAGTGAACCATTCATACAAAGTAGTATAAAATAGATTATATCAAGAGTTCTGTGTCTGCTTGCTACTGAATGTATATTTAGTTAATGTCTTTATTTGCACAAAATTTGATTTCAGATTTTCTTTCATGTTTCCTAGTAGTAAGGAAAGGAGCTACTAATCCTTGGCAACTGTAACTTCCTTGTGGACTACAATTATCTCTCCAACCTAAGAGTTGTGTATGACCAAGTTAATTTAGGTCAGTCCCTAATACTCCCAAAATTTTAACTCCAGCTTAGAATTCCAATGCCTGAACTCTAGGCTCCTGTTTCCAACTGCATGCTCAACATCTCTATTTCCATGTCTAAAAAACATTACAAATGAAATATATTCAAAACAGAACCCCTGATTTTCCTTCCTATACCTGCTCCATCTCAGCTATGGCAACTCAGTCTTTCTATTTACTCAGTAACCTTATAGTTCTAGTATGCTTTTTCTCATACCCTATATTCAGTCTGCCAAGAAGTCAAATATATCCACACTCCAAAAACGTCCACAATCCTAACACTTATTTCTACCTGCAATGCTGTCACTTTAGTCCAAGCCGCCATCCTCTCTAGCCCGAATTCTTTTAACAGTTCTCTGCTTGGGTTCCCTGTTTTAACTGCTGTTCTTCCCACAGTCTACTGCTTCATCAGACTAAACACTTGTACCTGGTTTATACTTCCCATCCCTCATTTAGCTCGATTTCATCTTCCACTCCTAAACCCCGTCTTTCACTCTGCCCCAGGACACTGGCCTTTTCACCATTCCTCGGAAATTCCAAGAATGCTTATACTTAGGGCCTGTGCACTGGCTCCTTCTTTGCCTGGAATATTCTTCAAAAGATAACTATATGTCTAACTCTCTTACCTCCTTCAAATCTTCGTTCAGATGACATTTCCTCAGAGAGGCGCAGTCTGACTACATAACACTGATGACTCCTTCTCGATCCTTCTTACCCTGCTCTAGTCCCACTCCCCCCACAGTACTTAACACTTCCTAACAAGTACAGAGTATAAAATAATTTACTTATTATGTTAATTTCCTCTTTTCCCCTACTAGAAGAATGTAATCTCCATGAGGGCTGAGATTTTGGTGTGTTTTATTCACTATAATATATTAAGAGCCTGAAAAAGCCTGGCATGTATTAGGTACTCAGTACATATTTGTTGAGTGAATGAAAGAATAAAAGATATTTCACCCTTCAAACATGTCAGATCTGAGACTTGTAACATATTCCAATTCAAAAATAATACATCAATTTATACCACATAGGTATTATTACAGAAAGATAATCTACCTAAAGGTAAAGCCGCAGTTATAAATAAAAATTTCAAGAAATTTATAGTAAGTACATAAATGGCATTTGTGATATAAATTAGATACACCAACCATCAGATTCAAATGCCTGTATGTTCTTTTGTTTATGATTGCATCTTAGTCTGACTTTCCAAAATATTTCAAGTACACCTTATTTATATAATTAAAAAAAATTAACAATTTCTGGGGGCTGGCCCCATGGCCAAGTGGTTAAGTTCATGTGCTCCGCTGCAGGCGGCCCAGGGTTTCACCGATTCGGATCCTGGGTGCAGACGTGGCACCGCTCATCAGGCCACGCTGAGGAGGCATCCCACATGCCACAACTAGAAGGACCCACAACTAAAAATACACAACTATGTACCGGGGGGCTTTTGGAGAAAAAGGAAAAATAAAATCTTTAAAAAACAAAACAATTTTTAAAGTTGATCTGTCCTTATTCTCCAGGAGAACACTATGCTGACATCCAATTCTGACTGGTTAGCACCACTGTAAAACAGGTTATGCTGTACCTTAAGATCCTGAATTAAGTTACAAGGCCGCACAGGAGATGAACTCCACTGTAATGATTCCAATCCACTCTATTTTTAGGTAAGATATTGAAGCCAACTTCATTGTCTAAGAATGCTAGATACGAACTCTAACTGTAGCTCTGATGTCTGTTGGTCAAAAATAACACTTAAATCATGTATATATGCTAACATAAGAGGCAGGAAGAGAAAAAGGGAAAATTCACTAGCTGGAGGGGAAGAAAAATCACTGAAATTTTATCTTTGTTGGTATATGAATGTGTGCATGTGTGTGTTTTACTCTGAGTCGAAAGAACACTGAATTCTATCTCCCTGCAAGACTTTAAGCCACAAGGAATTTTCATCTAACAGTAATGTCTGCAACTCCTCTGGCACTGCCCTGGCTTGAGGAAAAATAGCATCTCTATAAAAATGAGATAAAATGACACATTCAAACAACCAATGTTTAATTTAACTTTATGGAAAAACATGTCTCTTCTCGGGAGAGAAAATTGCTCTGAAAAATATTTGTTATTGATAGCTCTGAAACAACACTACATTGTCATCAATTAAAATGAGATGAAGCATACCAAAGGAAGACAAAGTATAAAAATTAGACGAATGCCTTCCATAAGCAATAATAAAAGCATTAACAGCTATTGAACACTTATGGTCAATCAGAAACTGTGGCAAGTGCTTCTTGCACAATATCGCAGTTACTGTTAACAATGACTGCGTGTGGGTGGGTGCTACTGTTATCTCCACTTTATCACGAGCAAACTGAGAGGTTAAGCAATTTGGCCAAAATATTTAGCTACTAAATGGCGGAGACGGGGTTTTAATTTTGGCAGCCAAATTCCAAATCCTGCACTCTTTATCATCACGGGTGAGCTTGTTTTCTGCTGAAAAAGTGTGATATTTGTCTTACTGCTCTATAAAAAGGACTTCTAATGAGACAGAAAAACCCCTTCCAATGCCAGTTGTTCATTTCTTTTACTGTTTGGATCTCTATAATATTGGTGGGGTCCTGGGCTGTGATCTGGGAATCTGTAACATTTCACATGCAGTCATTCTGGTTAACATGGCATTTGTCAATTTTGGCAAGTCCAGGCCGTAGGGCCATACACATGGTTGTGGCATTTGGGCCCACTGAGCATATTCTGGGCTTCGTGGTGTTCCCTTTCCATACTTAAAGCCTGGGCTATTTAATTCTGCGGGGACATGAGGCTGGTTTACCTTGCTGCTCCTCCATGACAGGCACTAACTTGCTGAGGAAGCGTTTAATCCACTTATATCCTTGCAGGATATGATCATGAAAAAGATGGTGCTCTGGATTTGGACTAGTCCCTGACTTACACCAGAACAAGCTTGGGTTCTCTGGCTCATTCCCAATAGTTAACAGGGTTAGAACTGGCAGTGAAAATCTTAAGTGTTCTCACTGCTAGTGAGAGGATGCTAAAATAAATCTCATCATGCTTTCGTTCCATGTGGTATACATGTTAAACTATATTCTCCTTAAGAAAACAACGTGAGAATATCGCGTAGAGCACAATGTTTCTCTGTGAGGAGCATTTGGAAATATGAGCGTGTCAAGCTGGATAATAACATGAATGGTAGAGCTTAAGAGAAATAAAGTTAATGGGGCTGGCTCCCTGGCCGAGTGGTTAAGTTTGCGCACTCCGCTTCGGCGGCCCAGGGTTTGGCCGGTTCGGATCCAGGGCGCGGACATGGCACCGCTCATCAAGCCGTGCTGAGGCGGCATCCCACATGCCACAACTAGAAGGACCCACAACTAAGAATACACAGCTATGTACCGGGGTACTTTTGGAGAAAAAGGAAAAATAAAATCTTAAAAAAAAAGAAAAATAATGCAAAGACGTAAGAAAAATATGTTCATAAATAGATTTAATATTAACTATATTTCATTATATAGGGACTCAGATATAAAAATGATGTGGCCAGTAGTGTTTCCTCTTACTAACTGGCATTGTACTCTTTAATAGTTTGTTTTCCAATTTTCAACTGCTTAAAAGACTCACGCTCCGACTCTATTGTCATGTCTGCTGTGTGTCTCTTCACTCTGAGTGAGGGACAGCCCCTGAATCAATGTGCTCTTTGCTCATTAGGTGGCCGATACCTGATCTCTCTTCCTGGCGGGGGAAAGGAATGGAGAAAAAGACTGTTACACGTACTGATGTATTTTTTTCTCATAAAAAGTTATCAAGAGTGATTAGGATTTTATTAAAATCATGGATTTAAAAAGTTTGGATAAATTATAAAATTAAAATTTTAAAGATATATTATCACTTGCTTTCCTTTGCTGCTAGTCCATTTTAACTGCTGACAGTATAAGTTTCTGACACAATGATTAAAATCTTCCTAGCTCTAACAATTCTCATGGCCCCTTGTACCTAAATGCAACCTCGGGCAATAAGCTGTGTTATCCTATATGAAACGGCTCATTGTGAACATTTATAAAATCAGATATCCGGGCCAGAAAAAGTCGACCAATTAAAGTGGTGTTTATGGTCTACTCTGATAATATAATCTTCTTCCTGATATTTAAAAAAATTGTTCCAAGTTTCAAACAACTTGCACAATTTATAGAAATGAAGCTGTAGGTTAGATACTATATCTATGTATTCTAATTTTGTGGAAATAATAAAAAATACAAGGTGACCTTAGTGGCTTCTTATCAAAATATTTGATTTGCTCTGAGGACTGCCCCTGCTCAATGCCCTCAATTTTCTTCTTCTTCTTCTTTTTTTTTTCAGGAAGATCAGCCCTGAGCTAATATCTGCTGCCAATCATCCTCTTTTTGCTGGGGAAGACTGGCCCTGAGCTAACATCTGCGCCCATCTTCCTCTACTTTATATGTGGGACGCCTACCACAGCATGGCTTGCCAAGCAGTGCCAATGTCTGCACCTGGGGTCCGAACCGACGAACCCGGGGCCACCAAAGCGGAACGTGCGCACTTAACCACTATGCCACCAGGCCGGCCCTCAATTTTCTGATAATATAAACTATCGTAGCTGTTATAGTAGGATTATTTTTGGAAGATACCAGTGACCACTTTTTTAACAATAAATAATCAACTAAGAGAATAGTAGCCAAAGTAAGCAAGTAATAAAATGTATTAAAACAGCGATCAGTTTTGACATTTAAATTCCCTGCTGAAGTGTTCAGCCAGCTGCAGGGAGAGACAGCCAGTTCCTACATATAAAACAGCAACTGTGGAAAGGCTACTTGTCAACAGGCTAACCTGTTCTTCTCAAGAGCACATTGTCACCTGACACCAGAATTCAGAAGTGAAGAAAAAAAGAGGACGAAACAGATTTGAAAGGTGAGGAGAAGCCAAAACAAATTTTCACTGAGAATAATAAAAATATTTGTATTGAATTTTAAAATTTGGATAACTTTTAGGCTACAGTCACTTGACATTTAAAACACTTATGAAATCATAGCTTATCTTATTTTTTGTTTTAAAATTCATGAATTTTAATTAAATAGATCGCTATGCACACAGAAAAAAAGAAGCACAGCAGTTGTCCTCTGCTTGATGGTCAAAATCTACTGGCTGCGATGACTAAGGCGCATCACTTTCCTTGGACTTTGGGAAAATCTAGTTTCTAGTGTAAGTAGATTCTTGCTAATCGCTTACTGTGTTTGTGATTAATTAGTTTGTTCCACAGATATGAAGCACTTGCTATCCAGTCATGCGTCCTTAATGATGGGGATGTGTTCTGAGATATGCGTCGTCAGGCGATTTCGTCGTTGTGCGAACATCAGAGAGTGTACTTACAGAAACCTAGACGGTGCGGCCTACTCCACACCTGGCCTGTTGGTGTAGCCTGTTATTGCTCCTAGGCTACAGACCTGTACAGCGTGTTACTGCACTGAATGCTGTAGCAGTTGTAACACAGTGGTGAGTATTTTGTATCCAAACAGAGAAAAGCTAGAGTAAAAATACTGTATAAAAGGTAAAAAATGGTGCACCTGTCTCGGGCACTGACCATGAACGGAGCCCGCAGGACTAGAGGTTGCTCTGGGTGAGGCAGTGAGTGAGTGGAGAGTGAAGGTGAAGGCCCGGGACGCTACTGAAAACTACCGTAGACTTTATAAACAATATATGCTCAGGCTACAATAAATTTATAAAACATATCCTTTCTTTCTTTAATAATAAATTAATCTTGGCTTAGTGCAACGATTTTATGTTATAAACTTTGTAATTTGTTTAACTTTCTGACTCATAATAAGACAGCTTAAAACACAAACACATTGTACAGCTGTACAAAAGTATTATATTTATATCCTTATTCTATATGCATTTTTCTATTTTAAAAAAGTTTTATTGTTTTAAACTTTTTTATTAAAAATTAACAGGGTTGGCCCAGTGGTGTAGTAATTAAGTTCACGCACTCTGCTTCAGCAGTGCAGGGTTGGCGAGTTCAGATCCTGGCGCGGACCTACACACTCATCAGCCATGCTGTGGCAGCATCCCACATACAAAATAGATGGCCACAGATGTTAGCTCAGTGACAATCTTCCTCAAGCAAAAAGAAGATTGGCAACAGATGTTAGCTCAGGGCCAATCTTCCTCACCAAAAAACCAAAACAAAACAAAAAAACCCCACAGACATTAGCTTAGGCCTACACAGGGTCAGGGTCATCAATATCACTGTCTTCCTCCTCCACATCTTGTCCCCCTGGAAGGACTTCAGGGGCAATAACACACATGGAGCTGTCGTCTCCTATGATGATGCCTTCTTCTGGAACACCTCCTGAAGGACCTGGCTGAGCTTCTTGAGGAGGAGTCACTCTTTGTGGTGGTTTGCTTGGCTTGTTTCTTCTTTTCATTGTAGATTTGCTTCTAAGTAGATAATGCACCATGAACATTCCTTTCTATTACTGAAAACCTTTTGGTGTTGGGGTCCTTGTTTTCAAACATTTTAAGGAGCTTCTTGAGGTCTGCAAAAGCTTCTGCTAAGCCATCACTGTGAATTTTCTTGAGGGTTCTTCTTTTTCTTCCCTTGCAATTTCCTTTTGTCCTGCCTCTTCTTCAGCTGTGTGTTCCTGTTCAGTTCCAACAGCTCCTCGTGAGACAATTCCTCAGGAACCACCTCTGGGAGCTCCTCAGTGTGATCCTCATCCACACCCAGGGTAAAGTTGTTTGCCATCTCAACCGCAGCCTGTTGATTTCTGCAACCTCCTCATCCTTGGTAAACCCTTTGAAGTCATGGATCAACCTCCTGACTGTCTTCTTCCAGACGCCGTTCATAACTCCCCAGTGACATCACCCCAGGCCCCAGCAAGGTTCTTGATGCAGTCAGAGATGTTGTAATCCTGCCAGAATTGAGTCAGTGTCTGCCTCAGTTGCAGCAAGAGCCTGGGCAAAGGTCCTCTTCAGATCCTGGGCCTGAAAAGCTGCTTAACTCCTCGATTCACTGGTTGGAGCAAAGAGGTGGTGTTTGGAGGAGGAAACCCCACTTTGATATTGGGACGAAGATCACCAGTCAAAGGAGGATGGCCAGGAGCATCACCAACAAGAAGCAACATCTTGAAAGATGTGTTACTCTCCACACAGCACTTCTCCATTTCTCTGGCACAGCAATTCAGGAGGGCATCTTGGAAGAGCAGCTGAGTCATCCATGACTCCTTATTGCTCCTGGGGTCCACTGGCACTGCGGGCTTCTTGATGTGCTTGAAGGCCCTGGGTTCTCGCTGTGCCAGGTCACAGAGGGTTTCAATTTGTAGCCTGGGCATTGCCCCCAAGCAAGACTGTTATCCTGTCCTTAAAAGCCTTGAAACCTGGCCTTGACTTGGCGGCCTAAGGGATGGAAGTCCTTCAGGCATCCATCTCCAGAGTGGGGAGGTTCCATCCATATCGAGTATTTGCTCTGGCAAATTGTTTTCCTCCACAATCAGCTTACCTAGAGTTTCTAAAAGTTCTTCAGCCGCCTTCACAGCAGCACTCACAGACTCGCCCCTCACTGTCACGTTATGTGATGAACAAGGATTCCTGAGTCGTGGAAACCACCCAAGCCTCACAGTCAATTCAACATCACAGTGGGGTCCAGCGTCTTCTTTCAACATCACAAACAAGCTTTTGTTTTGGCCGTGATGTCACGGTGCTGAGAGGGATACAGTTCTGCGCCTGGTCTTCAATCCAGGTCATGAGAAGTTTCTCCATGTCTGATGTAGGCCCTTCTCGAATTTTTGTTAGTCTCGTGGCCTGCAATGATCAGACCCTTTAACAGCTTCTTTCACTTTGTTCTTGTTCTTCAAGATCGTAGCTGTGGTGGAATGGGACATGCCTGACTGGCGAGCAATAACCATTACAGATTTTCCACCTTCATAGTCCTTAACTTTCAATTTTGTTTCCAGGTCAGTCGCTCGATGTGGCCTCTTACAGGCAACATTAGTAGTGGATTTTGTACGTTTAGGGATTGTGATGAACAAACCAACATGAGATTAAATCAAACACAAGAGAAACTGATGCAATCAAGAGATGCAGCAAACACAAGCTAAATGAGGCTGTTACTGGCAATAACATGGCATATATAATATATATATATATATATATTTTTTTTTTGGTGAGGAAGATTGGCTCTGAGCTAACATCCATTGCCAATCTTCCTCCTTTTGCTTGAGGAAGACTGTCGCTGAGGTAACATCTGTGCCAGTCTTCCTCTATTTTATGTGGAATGCTGCTACGGTGTGGCTTGACAAGCAGTGCTAGTCTGTGCCTGGGATCCGAACCTGCAAACCCTGTGCTGCTGAAGTGGAGTGTGTGAACTTAACCACTATGCCACTAGGCTGGCCCCAGCATACTGTTTTACAGTAATCATTTTTTTTTTACGAGTAGAAAGAGTATACTCTAAAATAACAATAAAATGTATAGTAAATACACAAGCCAGTAACATAGTCTTTTGCACTATTATCAAGTATTATGTACTGCACACAGTTGTATGTGCTGTACTTTTATACAACTGGCAGCATAGTAGGTTTGTTTACATCAGCATCACCACAGACACATGAGTAACGTGTTGCACTATGATTTGAGGATAGCTAAGTTGTCACTAGGTGATAGGAATTTTTCAGCTCCACTATCATCTTATGGGAGTACCATCATATGTGTGGTCTGTCTTTCACTGGTATGTTGTTAGGTTGTTTATGACTGTCTATCAGGCCTTGTGTTGACGAGAGGAGCACTTTAATCAATCTCTGATCAAATTACAAATCTAAGATGTGTATTAATTTAATGTTACTATATAAATACTCCTGGTTTTTTTGAGTTCATAATAGTTTACATCATTGTAAAGTTTCCGTTGTATATTATTTCTTGTCTGTGACCACATAAGTGCTCCCCTTCACGCCCTGTGCCCACCCCCTATTCCCCTTCCCCTGGTAACCACTGAACTGTTTTCTTTCTCCATGTGCTTGTTTATATTCCACATATGAGTGAAATCATCTGGTGTTTGTTTTTCTTGGTCTGGCTTATTTCGCTAAGCATAATTCCCTTCAGGTCCATCCATGTTGTTGCAAATGGGATGGTTTTGTCCTTTTTTATGGCTGAGTAGTATTCTATTGTGTGTGTGTGTGTGTGTGTGTGTGTGTGTGTGTGTATCCCCATCTTCTTTATCCACCATCAGTCGATGTCGATGTGCACTTGTATTGTTTCCATGTCTCGGCTATTGTGATAGTGCTGCAGTGAACATAGGGGGACATGTGTTACTTTGGATTGTTGATTTCAAGTTGTTTGGGTTGATGCCCAGTAGTGGGATACCTGGGTCATATGGTAGTTCTATTTTTAATTTTTTGAGGCATCTCCATACTGTTTTCCATAGTGGCTGCACCAGTTTGCATTCCCACCAGCCGTGTACGAGGGTTCCTTCCCTTTTCTCCACACCGTCTCCAACATGTGTTATTTTTAGTCTTAGTGATTATAGCCATTTTAACAGGCATAAGTTGGTATCTTAGTGTAGTTTTGATTTGCGTTTTCCTGATGATTAGTGATGTTGAACATCTTTTCCTGTGTTTATTGGCCTTCTAGATATCTTCTTTGGAAAAATGTCTGTTCATATCCCCTGCCCATTCTTTGATCGCTCTGTTTGCTTTTTTGTTTTCAGTTGTGTGAATTCCTTATATTTTATGGAGTTTAACCCCTTGTTGGATATACGATTTGCAAAGATTTTCTCCCAATTGCTGGGTTGTCTTTTGGTTTTGATCCTAGTTTCTTTTGCCTTGCAGAAGCTCTTTAGTGTGATGAAGTCCCACTTGTTTTTTTCTTTTTTTTCTTTTATTTCCCTTGTCTGAGAGGACATGGTATTTGAGAAGATCCTTTTAAGTTTGAGGTCAAAGAGTGTCCTACCTATATTATCTTCCAGGAGTTTTATGGTTTCAGGACGTATCTTCAAGTCTTTGATCCATTTTGAGTTACTTTTTGTGTATGGTGTGAGATAATGGTCTACTTTCATTCTTTTGCGTGTGGCTGTCCAGTTTTCCCAACACCATTTATTGAAGAGACTATCTCTTCTCCATTGTATGTTCTTGGCACCTTTGTTGAAGATTACTGTCCGTATATGTGTGGTTTTATTTCTGGGCTTTCAGTTCTGTTCCATCGATCTATATGCC